ATGAGAGTCCGAACAAAATTAGAATTTTCCTGTTTGAAGAGATTACAGTCGATAAAGGTAACAGGTTGGTGCACTCCGTTAAAATCTTAGTTTTCTCCATAAAGTTCCATGTTCTCCATAAAGTAAACCATAGCTAGTTTGACGTTAGAGTTCTTCCCTTGTTTGAAAAGTTATCTAGATTTATTGTTCAGTATATTTGAATTATTTACCATAACAAATACACAATATAAACAGTATAAAAATTTTAAGGAATTTTGTATAATTATTATACGGCTAGAATGAATTCATCCATTTACGTCAAGTTTGACGATAGGTGTTTCTACGAACAAGGGAAAATAGAATATAAGAAGAAAAGCGGTTAAGAGCCAGAGATGACTATTCTATTGAAATAGAAAGAAGAGTAAGGGCGTAGTACAACAATACATGAAAATAAGTTATCAGGAACAAAGGTAAACTGAATAACTTAAGAATAAAAGTAGAGAATTTTCTAGTCATAGCTGGTTATGTCAACTAACAGTATATATAGAGATGTATCATCCTTACACTATCGTGTTACTTGTTCTATATTGAAAAAAATGACAGCATCGAGCTCAATAACAATTCAAGTAAATAACGGTGAGACGCCTTTTTATGAAGAATTAGAGAAATATATTAATTCACTAAGTGAAAAATTTCAGAAAAAAAGTGTATTCAAAGAAAAAGTATATGACGATATTGTTAAATGTTTATTATTACCGAAAGGTAAGTCATCAGACTTGTATTCGTCAAAATTTATTTATTGGGTAAAACATAATTTTGTCTTGATGAAAATTGTCGATATTGATATTGTTTGTTGCGTTAAATCTAAAAAGCCAATTTGTATCTATGAAGCATTCTATAATGTAATAAGTGAAGGACATGTTACTGTTTCACATGGAGGTCGTCATAAAACAGTTTCTGTACTTAATTCTCACTATTCATGGATACCACGATTTTGTGTTGAAATATTTTTAAAACATTGTATACCGTGTCAAACAAGAAAGCCGATTAAACAACATATTGTTTCGAAACCAATAATATCATTAGGTGTGATGACAAGGCCACAAATTGATCTGATTGACATGAGAACCAGACCAGACACAATGGTTCCAGATATCGTTTATAATTGGATTTTAAACTGTATCGACCATTTCAGTAAATTTTCTTTGGCATTTCCGTTGAAAAATAAATCTGCTGATGAGGTTGCAATGAAATTACGAGAGTTGTTTTTTGTTTTTGGACCACCACGATTGCTTCACAGTGATAACGGACGTGAGTTTATTGTTAATGTGATAACTGAATTGAAGAAATTGTTTCCAGATTTGGTTTTTGTCAGAGGTCGACCACGTCATCCACGAAGTCAAGGATGTATTGAAAGGGCCAATGGAGTTTTATGTGATGCACTCGGAAAATGGATGCCAACAAATAATTCTTCACACTGGTCAGAAGGTTTATTACCAGTCATGTATGGTATTAATACAAGAATATCAAGTGTTACCAAAACAACCCCATATCAAGTAATGTTTGGACAACCACCTCGTTTAGATTCAGAATTACTGATCTTCTTACGCCTACTTCCCCTTTATCAAGACATGATTATATGTAAAGCTGCCACAAATAGTTATTTAACTACAGCAAATAAAAAATGAAACAATATAAAGATAGTATAAATAGTTTAGCAGATAAATTTAATTTAAATGATTGTGTTGGAGTTCCAACTCATACGGTTGATAGAACAAATACCGATGCTAAATATTTACCATGTTTAATTGTTGAAAAAGTTGAAAAAGATAAAACCGTTGTGTATAAATTAGCTTGTCAATATGGTAAATTAGAAAATACTTTCACAATTGAACATTTTGTTGATTTAAAATCGGCATGTCCAGAAGAGTTAAAACAACTTGCCATAGATGATCTAAAAGACATTACAATGATTGAAGCATGTAAACTTTATGTTCGAGGATGGCCGTACATGAGACTGGAAGGCAAAATGTGCTACGAAACAATGTGCATGTAAAAAAGCAGGAGTTTTTTCGACAAAATGCCACTCTAAACGAGGAGCTTGTAAAAACATGGATGAATAGGTTAATGTTCCATGAACTGTACATACTGTGAATTTAGCTTAATCATAAAGACATTGTGAATTAAAAAATTAATGGAGATACTCTAATGTAGATACTGTTTATATTGTGTATTTGTTATGGTAAATAATTCAAATATACTGAACAATAAATCTAGATAACTTTTCAAACAAGGGAAGAACTCTAACGTCAAAATAGCTATGGTTTACTTTATGGAGAACATGGAACTTTATGGAGAAACTAAGATTTTAACGGAGTGCACCAACCTGTTACCTTTATCGACTGTAACCTCTTTCAAACAGGAAAATTCTAATTTTGTTCGGACTCTCATCTTTTCAAGTTGATCAAAACTGAAATTCTGATTTCGCCCGGACAGAATTGGAATTCCAATTTTGTCCATAGAAACTCAGGTCAAAACTAGAATTCTAACTTTGTCCGGGCGAAATTAGAATTCCAATTATGTCCAGACAAATTCGGAATTTGACCGAATTCTAATTTTGTCCGCAACATATATTGAAGAAGGACCATCTAGTTTATTTATGTGCATATTTAATTATTAATCTGTGATTTTCCAAGAATCGCGATGATTAACGGATGACTAATCAGTTTTCGTTTTTTCTCTTCAGGATTGTTTTGTTAGACATGGCTTGAGTTGTTTTTAAATTTATTTTAATTCAACAATTACATACTCAGAAAATACTGAAAAATAACTATTTGAAAAGGCTAATGAAAATGTTTAGGTCTTATATACAAGTCGTATACGACTGAAGTCTGATATACAATAGAAGTTTACTAAAATAGCGTGAAATAAGATGATGATTTGTCTTTGTATAACTTATCTATTCACAAGTGAAACCATGTTTACTATCATGTTTATCACTACCTTTGTTACAGTTACCACCACATTTATCATCATGTTTATGTTGATCAACATTACCGCTTGTTCCACCTGCATGATGCTGTTGACCTAAAAGAACAAAAGGATCAAAACTAATTTAAATTAATGGGGATCGTATAAAACATCGAACTAGCTGTGTCAGACAGCTTACCAGCTCCATCTTGTCCTAAATTTTTTTGACCTGCTGGTCCACCGGTATTCGAGTCATTTTTCGTTGTACCAACAGTTGCATTTGATGGAGTTGACATTGTTTTATATTATGATGTTAAAGAATTATATAATGTAAGAAGGAACGTTTGAATATACTGTATGATTTTTGAAAATGTTGCTGCGTAAGGACTTGCTATTCTATTTATACACAGTAGAAAGATTTTACTAGAAAAAAGTAAACAACGTAAAAGAAAATTACGTTTGCTAGCTTATGTATCTTTTTGCTCCCCCTATTATTCAGTGTCAACCTATGCATTACCGAAAAAAAGGGGTATGCATGGCTCAAGGTGTGTTTTGTTAGGAAAGAATATAGAGAAAAAGGTGATTTTTCTTAGATATTGATGTTTTTTTTCCTGTGCTCTTCGATGCATCATGTGTAATTTCGCAGGTACATTCGTCGTGTTAGTAATCACACTTTCGTCCTTCTAAATAAATCTTATTATACGGTACAATTTATGAATGAGGGAACCTGTTTTATTCTTTTCTTTTCTCTTTCAATATTTCGAGGAGAGTTTTGTTATTATACTGGCTGGACTATAATTCAAATAAAAACGCTATTTGAGCATTCAACAGATAGACAACTTCAAATGTTTTGCTTTTATATATTCTTCTTTCAGACTTTTAACAGATTCTGTGCTGAAATGAAGCAGATTCTATAATGAATTTGACAAACTGAGAATTGCTGTCCAGCTTTCTACCTGTTTCCTCTCTTTTTGTATGAAAAATGTTTAATTGATTGCTTACAAGAAATGTATTAAACCATTTGTCTCATTGTATAACAGATGAGCGCATTATGCTTTACTCAGATTTCTCTTTGAGAACGTGATCAAGATGAACTTACACGATCTAAACCTGACATGGTCACACTAGGTTTGCCACAGGCAGGACACGTCACTTGGCCATGTGTGTTAAAGTCACGCCATCTGACTCGTAAAAATTCTTACCAGCACGCCATGCCGCGCGGCTTACTTTTTGCTTGATATTTTCTATATTAAAATGTATGATATTATCATCTATCTTTCAACTACTCTTCAAAAAGTTGTTTCTGATTCCTTTCAAAACTACAGTACTGGAAATAATTATAAAGCCACTGTGTTTTTGAAATTTTTCGAGGAGATCGAGCGGCTAGGTCAAATCTGAATAGTGATTTGGATAGCCCTTGAAGTTATCTATCAAATGCAGTTTGCGTCAAAATTTCAGAAAAAAGATTTTGAAGAAATTTATTTAATAATTTTTTAGAAAACCCCTCCAGTGGAGCTCTAAGTTCTAGAGGATTTTGCTACACATATTTTCAATATAGCCTCTAAAAGGGCATAAAATTCTGAAAGAAATGAAGCATCGCACAGCTTTCCACGATCTTTCGTTGCAAAGTTACAAGCATCAGAAAATCCAGAGAAATCTGCTTCTGCTTGTTTTTCAGACGATTTTTAGCGTTTTTTTCGTAAATTACACTATTTCTTCGGATTTTGTGATGCTTGTAACTTTGCAACGAAAGATCAGTAATACAATAATCTATCTATTATGAAAAATATATGATACGTGTAGCACATAAAACAAAATGTTTGACTATAAAGACCAGTTTTCGTACAAATACATTTATGTATACTTAATAATATTGTTCTTGAACTATTATCCGTTCCAGAAGTCAAGGCACTCGGTTGTTTTTTGAATAACTTTTGATACAAACAAGATGAAGGCCTGTGGTTTCCGCGATTCGAAAGAGGAGACTTGGATGCATGTTTTCATAACCAATATCAT